TATACAGAGTCATTGTACCAAAAGGAATTGGTGGACACAGAAGAATTTCATAAAACAACATATGAACAAGAGCCTGTGGTGATGAAGGAGGAAGTTCAAGCTGCTTTGAAAGAATTGACAAAACACAAGGCCCCAGGAATTTATGTCATACTGATTGACATATTTCAGCAAACAAATGCTGCTCCGGACATGCTCACCAAGTTGTGCCAAGAAATCTGAAGGACAACCACCTGGCCACCTGACTGGAAGAGATTTATATTTGTTCCCATTCCAAAGAAAGGTGATCTGACAGAGTGTGGAAATTATAGAAAAATATCATTGGTATCACATGCAAGCAAGATTCTGCTGAAGATTTTCCCAAAACGACTGGAACAGCACATCAACAGAGAACTGCCTGAAATGCAGGCTGGTTTTAGAAGAGGCCGTGGTACTAGGAATATTATAGCTAATGTCAGTAGAGAGTACCAGAGGAATGTCTGTCTGTGTTTTATTGACTATGAAAAGGATTTGACTGTGTGGTTCACAACCAACTGTGACTGACTCTGAGAAGATTGGGAATCCCAGAACACTTACTGTGCTTATGCAAAACTTATACTTGGACCAGGAGGCACTCGTCAGAACAGAGCAAGGAAACACTGCATGGTTCAAAATTGGGAAGGGTGTGTGTCAAGGTTGTGTCCTATCACCATACCTTTTCAATCTATATGCAGAACATATTATCCGGGAGGCTGGGCTCTCTGAGGAGAAGTGTGACATCAGGATTGGAGGTAGACTCATCAACAATCTGCATTATGCAGATGACACAATCCTGCTTGCTGAAACTGAGGAGGACCTGAAGTGCTTGCTGCAGAAGATCAAGGTCTGCAGCCTTCAATATGGATTGAAGTTCAACGTCAAGAAAACAGATTTTTCACCACTGGGCCAATTGGCAGCATTATGATGGATGGTGAAGAGACTGAGATTGTTAACAGCTTCAGTTTGTTTAGCTCTACAATCAACACTATTGCACTGGGAAAGCCAGTTGTCAGAGACCTCTCCAAGGTACTGAGGAGCAACGATGTCAGTCTGGAGACTAAGGTGAGCCTGATCCAGGGCATGGTCTTTGCCATTACTTGCTATGCTTCAGAGAGCTGGACAGTGACTAGGGATGATAGAAGGAGAGTTGATGCCTTTGAGCTTTGGTGCTGGAGAGGAGTACTGAATATACCATGGACTGCTAGGAGAACAAACAAGTTCGTCCTGGAGAGGGTGAAGCTGGGCTGCTCCTTGGAGACAAGGATTCTGAACCTTCGTCTGACATAATTTGGACATGTTGCATGGTGGGATTAGACCTTGGATAGGGACTAATGTTTGGAAGGGTGGAAGGACAGCACAGGAGAGGAAGACCCTCGATGAGATGAATTGATTCAGTCACTGGGGTAATGGGGATAGGTGTGTTGGAGACAGTGAGATTGGCAAGGGATAGAGCAGGGTTTAGGGTTGTTGTAGGTAGGGTCACTATGAATGGCACATAACAATGGTTTATTTATAAAATTTGAATCAATTGTATTTGAACTTTGTAAATAAACTAGTATAATAATTATTGTAGAATGAGTATTAGTATCCAGATGCCTTTTTAAATTTTTCAGTTCTTATCTCAGTAGTCTTTACCTTTGTTTTGGCTTCTTTTCATTCCAGTGCAAGTTCCAAGGTCTCATCTGAGATCCATTTTGGTCTTCTTTTTTTTTTTTTTTTTAAATTCCTTTTTTATTTTCTTTTCTTTCTTCATGGATGAAGTCCTTGATGCCATTCCACAATTTGTCTGGTCTTCAGTCATTAATAATCAGTGTGTCAAATCTGTTCTTAAGATACGTTTTAAATTCACTTGCGGTGCACTCAGGGTCATTTTGGTTTTGTTGACTTGTTTTAATGTTCTTCAACTTCAGTTTGAACTTGAATATGAGTAGTTAATCGTCTTTTTCGTAGTAGCCCCTGGCCCAGTTTTTACTACTGATAATTGTGAGTTCACCAAGGAAGGACAAAACCCACTTCGGACCAAAGACAGTCTATTGAGAAATTGCCAGTCTGGCTCAAAAGTAAAGGCCAGCAGCTACTTAGAGTGCAATTTCATATTGTCTTACAAAGAAATTGAGAGTTAAGATGTTTACAGCTGCTTGGTACAAGATAAGGGAACAGGTCAGAGGTTGTGGATCATTATTCCTGGGAAAGGGAGGTGGAATAGTTTTGCAGCCCTAACAAACAGTTGCAGATCCTGCTTTGTTCATTTCTGTGGCTTTTCTGGGAAAAGGGAAGGAGAGCAGCTCCATGGCCCTAACAGTGATGAACTCTTCAAAAGCCTTTTTCCACTGATGTCATCAATCCTCATGTATGTCATTCCCCATCAGGTGAAGTCCAGGTATATAATCACCATTAATTTTTTTTCTTTTTTGAAGTATTTGCAATGACTAAATTATTCATTGTACAAAAATCTGTCATTCAATCTCCAGCTTCTTTTCTGTCCAAGACCTTATTTTCTAACTTCCAAATCTTATTTCTAACTTTTCCATTCCAGCCATCAGTTATTGCTAAGACATCATAATTACATGTTAGATCCATTTTAGACAGCAAAAGTTGGTAGAAATTCTCAGTGTCTTCATATTTGACTTTCATGGTTGGTGCATGTATTTGAGTTATGGTTGTATTGAATAGGACATCCTTGTGTGCATATAGATAATATCCAATCACAATATGTGCTTCGGGGTATATATTGAAATATTCTTTTTTGCGGATGAATGCCACACTGTTCCTCTTACATTTGTTATTTATGGCATAGTATGTAATATGATTGTCTTGATTCAGAATGGCCATTAACAGTCCATTTCAGCTCACTTGAGGGAAGCCCACTATCAGATTTAATAATAGTAGACCAAATGCTGTATCGGAAATGAGGGAAGCTTAATACAAGCTGAAGGTCACCTTATGGCACTGGGACGTTCCCTAGGAGTCAACATTGTTCTTAGTTTGTGTCAAATAAATCCCTCCCTCTTGAGATTAGCATAAAGAGGAACTTGGCCTTATCTGTAAAAGACTTCACCATTATCCTTTGTTTTGTACTTCCTTGTGATTTTACTTTGTTTACCTTCCTTATGATTCTAAATAAATCTCAGAGAAGCATGGCTTGAGGCCTTCAGTCATGGGAACTGTTGGCCCCCTGTTTTTCACACTCTCTGCTCTATATCATTCCTGGTAGTCTGTCTCATTATTAATAATTATAAAATTATTTCATTCTCTGGGACCCTCGGTCTGCAACACTCACTAATGCCTGGGATGTCAGTTTTTTGTATTTAATTTTGTTTTTCCAACGTCCAGTTTTCCTTTATTCATACTTTGTACATTCTATGTTCCAGTTATTTATTGGATGTTTGCAGCTGTTTCTTTTCATTTTGAGTCCATCTCAAATACTTTGGGCATGTTTGCAGGAGGGGAAAGTCCTTGGAGTGCTTGGAAAGGTAGAGAGGTTCAGAATAAAAGAGGAAGACCCTCGATAAGATGGATTGACACAGTGACTGTAGCAATGGGATCAGCTGTATTGGAGATGGACAAGTTGGCTGAGGATAGCGTGAGATTCAGAGCTGTTGTTCATAGGGTTACTGAGTCATAATTAACTCAATGGTACATAAGAACAACAACAATTAAGTAAAAGCTTTACTCCATCTGTGTCATTAAGGTAGATATTATGTTGAGAAGGGAGCTCTTCTCCAGTTGAATTTTGAGTGCCTTCCAACCTGAGGGGCTCATCTTCTGACACTGTATCCAAGAATGGTCTTCCATTATCCATAGAGGGACCCTGCTGGTATTTTAAATACTGCTGTCATAGTTTCTAGCTTCACAGCAGGAAGCAGGCCACTACAGTACAGCAAACTGACAGACAAGTGGCCTATATTTTAGAGGGACATCATTTAGTCCATCACACTAGCTTTTCAGTAGTAATTCAAGCAACAGAAAGGGATTGCTTGGAATGCAGAGAAGAGCAGAGCCTAGAATTTCAGAACACCCACTGCTGTCCAGGCAATTCCAACTCACAGCAACCTTCTATTGGGTTTATTATTTAAAGGAGAAGTGTGCCTCATCTTACTGGAGTGGAGGAGTTGATGGATTTGGACTGTCCGTTTATTGGGTTACCAGCCCAGCATGTCTACAGTACACCACTAGAGTGCTAAGGGTTGCTAGTAATTAATGATTATGTAGAAGAAACACAGCTGCAAAGAAGTTTGAGCTCTAGCAGGCAAAAAGGAAGAGATTGAAGTAGACCAAAAGAGAGAGGATTTCAAGGAGTAAGTGAGGACTCAAGAATGTTCCTCAGGTTGAGAGGAGAATAGGAAAAGAGTGGATAGATAATGAACACTGCTTTGGAATAGATAAAGGGAGAAACTGTCTGAAAAGGAATATGTGATTAGGCATTATATGTATGGCAACAGTCTGAAGCAAGAGGGACATTGTAAAGTGAACTGGGGAGGGCGGGAAATGTGCAACAATGAGTGAATGAAAATCCAACCTTTTTGTAAACTTTCTTTAGAATCACAGTTAAAAAAGAACGTTCATCAAATTTAGCAAAGTGGAGAGTCATCTGTGATTTTAGCAAGAATGTTGTGATGCATATATAGAATTTGAATTGGAATAGACAGTGGAGAAATCGAGACCAGAAGAGACAATTATTTGAAGACATTTGCTTTAAAGAAGAGTGAGGTAGAGGTAGCTAAAGGGGCAGATGTGGTTAGGCACTCAACCCCCTCTCTTGGAATTCTTATCATTCAACTAGAGGGGTACTGGCAGCAGCACTATTTTTTATTGACTCTCACTCAAGATTGAGAATGTGGCTGAACCTCTTTGCTGGCCCTGAGCCAAGACCCCTAGTGATAGAGGCTTTTGTTTTCGTCAAAGGGTAAAGATGCTGGAATCATCACCAACACTGAGCAAGGTGGGGTACCAACATTAAACCAGTTCTTCTGCTTCCACAACAGGAGGTTCTGGGAGAGGAGAAGCTGAAGGAGATCCTGAAGGAGCGGGAACTTAAGATTTACTGGGGAACAGCAACTACAGGCAAGCCACATGTTGCTTACTTCGTGCCCATGTCTAAGATTGCAGACTTTCTGAAGGCAGGTTGTGAGGTAAGAATTAATGCAATAAGCCAAGTGTCCTTTTGAGAATTGCCAAAAGAAAGGTTTAGCAAAGGCTAGAGGGTGAGCTATACTCAGAAAAATTTACATTTTGGTAATCCCTTTACAGGTAACAATTCTATTTGCGGACCTTCATGCTTATCTAGATAACATGAAAGCCCCATGGGAACTTCTAGAACTCCGAACCAGCTACTATGAAAATGTGATCAAAGCAATGCTAGAGAGCATTGGTGTGCCCTTGGAAAGGCTCAAATTCATCAAAGGCACTGACTACCAGCTTAGCAAGTAAGTGCTTGACCACCCACTCTCTTTGTGGCTATAATACATTTAGCTAATTACAGGCCTCTGGAGTCCAGGCACTCTTACATTAAAAACTTTATACTCTTAGTCTTTTAAAATCATCCATCAAAAATGTACTTATAAATGCTTAGGAACTGTCTTCTTATTTGCTGGAGATACAGATCTAACCATAACAGAGGCCTTGGCAGGGGAGCTCTGGTGGCCTAGTGGTAAGGAGCTGCAACTACAATCCCAGAGGCGCACGGTTCAAATCCACCAGATGCTCTGCCAGGGAAGGAGGGACAATCTCCTCCTGTACCAGTCAGATCTGATTTGACGGTACACTCACACAAAAATAATAAAATTGAGAGAAAAAAACCAAAGTCCTTGGCTTTGTAGAGCTTACAATGTAAGGGAGAATGATGGTGAACAAAGCAGCTTCCCTTCTCCTTTTACTCTGAGCAAGTTAGTGTTAAACATATTTCCCACTTTCCTTAGTAAGAATTTAAGAATTTTCTTTGTTTTGTCAATTCATATTTATAGTATTACTGCAGATAAAAATTTATCTTTTTTATATATAACAATATATGTAAATTTACCCTTTTTTTTTTTTTAACTTACCTTTTCCTAAGTACTTCTGCCTGGTAGTTTCCACATTCAAAAATTTTTTAAACCTCTCAATAGCCTTTCTAACTATACCATGTACCACTAGTAGGTACATTTAAGCTCTCTGAAAAACTTTTTTTGAAGTAACTTGTTTCACAGGTAAGAAAATAAAATGAGATTTGAGTCCAATTTTCCAGCTCACCAGTAAATTTCTCTTTTTTTAACTTTACCTAATGTCATTTTCTTTATTACTCCCTGAACGTTGGTTTTAAATAAAGCATAGAAGCATCTTTATCCAAGCAGATGTTTGGATCTATAGCCTTAGTAGAGTGCTTAAGATTTCATTCATTTTTACATTTAATCTATAAATGTTTATAGAGCCTTTATAGTCTAAGTAAGGAGACAGTGATTAAAGTAGTGCTCAACTGCTAACCCAGAGTTCAGCAGTTCAAATCCACCAGCCAGGCCATTAGAGAGGGGTGTGCTAAAAATCTTATACTTTCATTAGATGTATAGCTTTGGGAACCCTATGGGACAATTCTTCTCTGTCCTATGGGGTCACTGAGTCAGAACTGACTCAATGGCTCTAGGTTTGTTTTAGGTTTTGGTTTATTTGCTGAGCACTGGGCTTGGTTCTGAGTATGCAAAATTAAAACAAAAATCTTTATCCCTACAGTCTAGTAAACGAATAGAGGTGGTAAACAAATAAACAGTGATATATTTAATGTTTCCAGGGTTTAAAGGTGCTACAAAGAAAAATAAAGCAAAACAGGTTGGTAAAGGTAATAAAACAAGTCACAAACTGAGAGATTTTTTTATAGCATATGTCACTGAAAAAGGGCTGTGGTCTAGTATTATATTTTTTAAAAATACAGAATTAATAAAAAAATAATTCAAAAACTACTGAGAAAAGGAGAGAATAGTTACATAATTGAAGTATGTAATCAATAAATGTCACTAAATGGTATGTGTAGAAACTATTAACACAAACATGACAAACAGTATTCTCACACCTCCAATAGGATTAGTATAAAGAGACCTTAAGGTGCACTACCTAAGCACTTGGCTGCTAACCAGAAATCAGTGATTCAGCTCTATTAACTGTCCCACAGCAGAAAAGATGGGGCACTCTGTTTCCGTGTAGGTTAGTCTTAGAAACCCTTTTGGTCAATTCTACTCTGTCCCACTCATAAAGTGCCTTTGGGTTGGCAGTGGTGGTTTGGTGTATTTTTCCCCCCTCTCCTCTGAGAATGACTATTCTCAGGGGAGAAAAAAAGACTTAATTCACAAAAGCAGAGATTCAAATATCTTCTTGTCCCTCGGGGAGCTCTGGTGGCTTAGTGGTAAGGAATTGTTCTGCCAACATAAAGATAGGCTGTTCAAATCCACCAGCTGTGAAAACCCCCTGGAAGGTTCAGCTATGTGTTGCTTCTGATTTGATGGTACACAACAACTTGTCCTTCAGTATTTATTACAGCATTATTCACAACAAACAAAGGGTAAAAGTAAGCAAACAGATGAATGGATAAGCAAAATGTGGCATATACATACATATATACATACATTGAAGTATTACTTTTCCATGAAGTGCAGGTAGATGCTTCAACTGGATGAATCTAGAAAATATGCTGAGTAAAATAAGTAAGACACAAAAGGACATATATTTTATGATAACAAAACAAAAATTGTATGATCACGTTGATATGAAATATCTAGACTAGGCAAATACATAAAGACCCATGTTTATTAGTGGTTACCAAGATCTGCCAGCATAATGCGTAGAGCGTTTTGCTGCTAACCCAAAAGCTGCCTGTCTTTGGCAGTTTGGATCCACCAGCAACTCTGCAGGGTAGCCAATCTCCCATGTGATTTACAACCTTGGAAACCCAGTGAAGGTCAGCTGTGAATCAGTTCCAACTCCAGTACAAAGAGTTTATTTGAGGGATGTTTGGGAGGAGCGAAAGAACAGTGGTGATAGTACAACAACATGGTGAATGTAATCAGTGACACTGAACTGTAACAAATAAAAGCAATTAAAGTGACAAATGTTATCTTTATCTTGGAACAGTACAAACATTTTAATGTAAAATAATGCATATATCAATAATAATAAACAGTTTATCTGCTGAGAAAAAGTAATAAGTCAATCCAAGAGAAAAAGACTAAAATGGGCATTTTATAGAAGAAGAAAAGCTTCTTGGTTATTATTTGAGAAAATTCAGGTTAAAATTACAATGAGGAATTCCATGCTCACAACACTGGCAAAAATTAAAATAATTGCAATCTTAGTAATAAAAGTTGAAAGAAACTATTTTGGAAAATAGCTCAGCGTTATCCAAATATATATATATCACACATAAATAGCAGGGTACACACACATTAGAGGTACAGACCTAAAACAGGAAAGGAAAGTTCAGAATAATGGTTACTACAAAGGAAGAGAGGGTGGGGGATAAAATTGTAAGGGTTACTCCCATACTTAAAAGTAAGCACTAGGAACTTTTCTTTAAACTAAGTAATGGATATGTTGTTCTTAATTTTGTTTATTATTCCTTATATGTACTTAATCTTAAAAACAAAAATGGGCAATAGTGTCAGAAATTCTGACAGTCATTTAATTGGCATTCCAGAAAAAAAGAGTAATAAGGAAAATGGCAGTGAAGCTATATTTGAAAATACATTAGTCTTTTTTTCCCCCCAGTAATGACTAGAAAGATGAAATAAACCCATCCTTTTAAAGGAAAAACATGAAAGTAAATCTTATTTTGAATGAGAGCATGGATCTCTCATATTTCAAAAGTCACTATGCAGTGTTCCCATTGAAAGCTTTAGAATTAGGGAATACCATTGAGCACAGGGTAGGGAAATGGTTCTCCACATTGCCATTTTTACCAGCCAAGCACAATATTGGGAAACTGAAGTCTGAACCCAGTTCTGCAGCTATTTCATCTTCTTTTCCTCCTCAGAGAGTACACACTAGATGTGTACAGACTCTCCTCTGTGGTCACACAGCACGATGCCAAGAAAGCTGGAGCAGAGGTGGTAAAACAGGTGGAGCATCCTTTGCTGAGTGGGCTGCTGTACCCTGGACTGCAGGTACTTAGGGAGGGAGGAGCCCAGCTTACCTGATCTACTCCGTTTCTAGCAGCTGGACACAAATCTCCCTCTCAGCTCCACATGAACTGATTGATGCACACTTCCTGTTCTGTCACTGTGCCATTAGGTCTGCACCTTCCTGTCTGTCTGTCTCTCTCTCATCATCTTGCCAGCTCCCCCCCCCCATTCCCTGAGATACTCTTGTTCTTGAAGACATCACTCACATCATACATCTTCTTGTGTTAATCATAATATGTTACTTAAAGAAAATAAATTTCAGGCATAATTTTAATTTCCTTTAAATAAAACAAACATCGTATTTCCTGTGTTTGTGTTTGTAAAAACAAGGAGAAAGATGGAAAAAAAAAATACAAACCATGCCATTAACACTTGTTACCTGAGGGAGGTGAGATGAAAATGTGAATAGACTTTTTTTAATCTCTATAGTGTTTGATATATTACAGCTAGCATGGATTACCTAAATGTTAAGGATACCATATTGCACAGCACATATATAGTGAGTGCTTCATCACAGGAAATTCTTTTTCACTGTGCTGTTATAGCTTTTTTTTCTTTCTGGCTGACCTTTCTTTTCTCGTTCCTCTCTGTCCTTTTTCCATGTGGCAGTCCAGTCAGGCCCTCTTAGAAATCTTTTTTAAAATCTAATTCATTCTTCCCACTGTCCTGTTTCATCATCATCTCTCACCAGTACAGCAACCTACCCTGTTTCCCCTTAAAACTGGCCAGGAAAAAGCTGGTAACACTAGCATGATGTGCGTCCATGATTCCTTACTAATTAATTTCCTTACTCAATATTTCTCACAGTCTTTTAAGATTGTGCATTTGCAGACTAAATCACTTCTAGTGCTCCTAAAGGCTTAACATGTCTGGGTATTCTTATATTCTGTTTCTTCCGTGTAATGAAAACACTTCATATGTGTTTTTCATAGCACCACTCAAGCCTCACACTGATTCTAAGAAGCTATGCCCATCACCTGGCTGACCAGAGATAATAATTTCTACTTTTGTCTTAGCATTTTCCCTCATATAAACATCTAAACTTATTCCATCACACTCTGTATTCAAATGATCTGTTTTTACATCTCTCTCATCACCTGGATAATTGGGCTTCTAGAGTCGGGAGTCTGGCTCTGATTCATCTGCATCCACAGGACTGGCACTGGTTTACTAGTCTTGCTTTTTCTCTCAACTCTTACAGCACTTAGTTCTGTGTGCCACTTATCTGACATTTGTCACAGACTTCTTCGTTGGAGTCCCTTTCATATAACTGGTTAGCTTCTTCCTCCCTCCTTTCCCCACTAGGTTGGGAGCTTCCTTAAGACAAAAGTTATGCTCCCTTCACAGGTCCCTCAGCACTCAGCAAATTATTATACTAAACTCTTGGTGCCTCAGACTGAATGCTGTATATTTACTTTCTATCTTCACCTTCTGAAACCTCTAATAATTGTCAAAATTTTCTGAAGAAATACAGTAATTTATGTTTCCTGGGTTCCTCCTTGCCCCTCTCCGCAGGCCTTGGATGAAGAATATTTAAAAGTAGATGCTCAGTTTGGAGGTGTTGACCAGAGAAAGATTTTCACCTTTGCAGAGAAGGTAAGTGACTTCTTTCCTGTCTTATGTCATTTATGCCTCAAACTTCTACAGTTAACTGAACTATGATGTGCCAGTCCGACCAATTGTAACTACCTACTTTGTGTGGTCGGTATTTACTCTCCTTGTTTTGTAGATAAGAAAATTGAAGCTAAAAGGAATAAGAAAGTTTCCCAGGCACTAATTTATTGGCTGAGCAGGAACTGATACAAAGATAGTCCTGGCTACATAGGCCATGAAGTTCCTAACAACCACATGTCAGCCATTGGGAAGTTGCTCCAGCATGTGCTGTTGCACCAGGATGTGCTGGGTTTGCTTCTGTTGCCAAGAAGCACTTCCAGTCACAACTACTGTTTTTTGTTCATAACATTGCTCTGTATTGCACTAGATTTTAGGGAAACGTGTCATCTCTGAGGTGTGGTTTAACACTTGAGAAAGTAAGCACAAATTGGTCTTAGTTCTTTTCAGGGAAAGCATTAGAATAAGTTTAAAAAGAGCTATTGAGAAGTACTTGGTACTTGGCGCAAGTATAAGGGAGTATACTGCTATTGCAAATGTAAATTCCTGGAAGGTGAATATTGATTGGTTTTGTTAGGTGCTATAAATAGAGCAAAAGTGATGAGGGAATTGCCGGGTATGACTTCTGCTAACTCCAAAAGAGGGAACTACCCCCATCAACAGCACCAACAATACAGAACCAATTCCCATGAGGTCAGACATGTCTCCTACTCACCTGCACCTATTTTCTACTAATTCCAACAACAGTCCTACTGTTCTGCTGGGTCCAAAATCCTTGCAGTAGCTACACAAACCTCACAGAAACATACCCATGATCATAGAGTTGATTAGGAAAATGAACAGGTTACAATGCAGGTTGGCAATAGGATACAATTTCTCACTCAGAATTTCTAACTTCTGAAATGTGCTTATAAAACCTTTAACCTTTAAACTTTAGGCCAGGATTACAAAGTTCTTGTAGTTCTGCCAATTGAGGCATTTCTATACCCTTCATGCTGTCCCTGCATCCCCCCAAGTCCTCCAAAAAGTTTGGTGAAAGGCTCCTAGCTTTGGTCTCATGGGGCAACAGCAGTCCCAGGTCAGCTCTGTCTCAGTCTCCAGTTCTTTGTGCAGCTGTTGCTCTCTTGTTGGTCTGGCTAGCACAAGAATATCTGGCCCCAAAGGACACGTTCTACATTATCTGCTGTTTCTTCCTTCCTAGTAGTAAGATTCCCAAGTTTCTGGTGCTAAACCTGCTCAATTTAAACTTGATGGAATGGCAAAAGTAGCCAATCCCCTGCTAGGGAGACTGGCACATTCTCTTTGCATGTTCTTAGCCAAGTGGCAAAGTCAAGGCCCAGGAAAATGATTTTGAGCAGTAGACCCATTACATCACAGGTGCCTCTGAGTTGGTTCTGACTAATGTTTCAGCCCATCATTGTGTCACCCTGTGAATCCATTTCATTCAAGGCGTTCCTCCTTTTCACTGACCCTTTACTGCTTTCTTCTGTATTGGTTTTCTAAGGTAATTGCACATTTCATTGTAATACTTTCTTAATCTCCTCTTGAAATCTTCTGTTCAGCTCATCATTTGTTTGATTTACTTTCCATTACTCTTCATTCAAGAGCAAACTTCAGGGTCCTCTGCCATCCATTTTGGGCATTTCCGTCTTGTTTTGCTGATGATCTTTTGCTTTCTTTATATATCATGTCTTTGAAGTCATATCACATCTCATCTGGTCTTAAGTCATAATTGTTCAGTGTTTCAGATCTATTGTTAATGGTCTCTAAATTTAGATGCGATATATTGAAGGTTGGTTTTGTGGTGGGTGTTTTTTGGTTTTTTTTTTCTTTTGAACTTGTTTCCATTTTCTTACGCTTTAGCTTAAATTTGCATATGAGCAATTGATAGTCTGTTCTGCAGTTGATCTCTGCTGTTAACTCTGATTGATGATACTGAGTTCACCCTCACTTCTTTCCACTGATTTAGTCTGTTTGGTTCCTATGTTGGAATCAAACTTCTTACAAATGGCAAAGTCAACAGGATGGCACAGGATAAGAGGTCAATGTTCTGATTTATCATTCATAGGCTTACTTTGAGTTGTAGTCTCAACGACACACAATAATAACAATAATTATTGAAACACCTTGATTGCATGTTTGATCAGTTTCAAATTCCAGAAGAGATTAATCTACTCACACAGAGATGATTAGCATCACACAGCATTTTAAGCAGATATTGAAACACTTGTAGTAGTAACAGGGGGGAACAGTTATTCATGGGTCACCCACATTGTTCAAGAGCCAACTGTGTTCGAGTTTTTTAAGTTAGTTTTCATGTATACATACTCCTATTTATCCTTTCTGCTATTCAATATTACTTTTTTATAGTTTTGTGCTTCCATCTGGGACCATTTTCTTTTAGTCTGTACACCCTTCCTTAGTATTTTTGTTTGTATTGTAGATCTTTAGGTAATAAAGTATCTTAGCTTTATTTTCTCTAAAAATATTTTTGTTTTACCTATGTTAAGAATAAAATTCTAGTTTTGCAATTCATTTTCCCATAAGTAGCGCTTTAACTGGGCATTCCATTTCCTATTGGCTTCCATAGTTTCTACTGAAAAGTTACCTTAAAGTGTGATTATTTCCCCTTGTCAAGATAATATGTAGTTTCCCTCATATTTATCTTGTATGTGTTTTCCTGAGCTTCTTGAATCTTTTAAGTTGATTTTTTTCAAATTCAGAAAGGTCTTAAATACTGCTTTTTTTTTTCTTATCCTTTTACTCTCCTGGTTAGACCTTTTGATCATTTCCCACATGTGTTTTTTTTTATTTTGTTCTATTGTTTTCCTACCTTTATTCCCTTTCTGCTTTAGTTTGGATATTTTCTATTGTCTTCAAGTTCACTCACTTATCCCGCTTTCTGTTAACCCCAAACAATAGTGTACCAATTGAGAAATTTTATTTTATTGTTTATAAATGTCATTTTTTTAAAAGTTCTCCATCTTTTATTCATTTTGTCCATGTTTTCTTCTTTTTTTTAAATATTTCATGCTGTGAGCTAGGTTTTTTTAATTTTTTTTTATTATTATTTTATTATTGTGTGTGTGTGTGTGTGTGTGTGTGTGTGTGTGTGTGTGTACCATCAAATCAGATCTGACTGGTACAGGAGGAGAGTGTCCCTCCTTTCCTGGCAGAGCATCTGGTGGATTTGAACCTTGTACCTCTGGGATTGCAGTGCAGCTTCTTGCCACTAGGCCACCAGAGCTCCCCAGTTTTCTTCTATTTTTAACATACCAATTAATAGTTTGACATTTCTGGCTACTTACTCTATTCTATGCATTGTCTTGGGATGTTTGTACTGATCAAGTTTTCTCCTGAAAACTTTTCTGCTTCTATTTCTACTATTTTATTGTGACACAGGCATTGTATATATGTTGTTGAGTCTGTGGACTATTATTATATTCTTTTCTAGTCTGATAAATTTTGTCCTGGAAGTACTTAATTTTCTGACTGGTCACCCCATTCTTGTCAGTTTGGTTTATGGCTTTGTTGGAACAGGCCTGTTTCAGTTTTGTCCTTATTCCTAGATATGGTTCTTATTCCTGATATGTGCCCTTTTTGGGGTTTCAAATTGAAATTACACGATGTTTAGACCTCTGTACTTTAATTGTATCCAAACTTCAACCTCTCTTCCCAATATTGTAAAGTCTCTAAAAATCTTTGCTCGGGTTCCTAGTCCCCACAGTCTGTCCATGAGGAATGCATAGTTTATGAGTCAACCCCAAGAGGAATTTTAACGTTTTGGTTTTGGTGGTTGGTTTGTTTTTTGTGTGAAGTTCCCTTCTCTGTGTAGTAAGATTGTTGCTCTCTGCTTGGTCTCTTTTTGCCAGAACCTGGCATGGAAAAAATGCCTTCAGAAAGAAAACCAGGGAAAATATGGGATCACCTTTCCTTCCCTACTCAAGATTTATAGGCATACATTCACTGCTGTCCAATGCCTGCAAATGATTACTTACATATCCATCTCTCATAGTGGGAGAATTAATTCAGTAGTTTAACAATATAATATTAATAGAAAACCGTATGATTTTAACAGGAAAAACATCTGTTTACATTATGAAGTTTCTGGAGCAAGCGTGGGGGAACATATTTGATAGAAAAAAATAGGAAGAGGATAAACTATTAAGTTGATGACCAAGTTGGATGAGATCAGAGCACTGAGAAGGTATTCTAATAATTGCTTCTGTTTGTTTCTTTTTTTGACTGTCCAGTATCTACCTGCACTAGGCTACTCAAAACGGGTCCATCTGATGAATCCTATGGTCCCAGGATTAACTGGCAGCAAAATGAGCTCTTCAGAAGAGGTAGGTTTTCAACTCTGACTTCAAGTTTAGAAATAATGAGCAAGAGACAAGGAGATTGAGAGCTCCTTAGAAAAGTGAGTTAACTGGCTGTTGTATATTGTTGAGTTGGAACTGACTTACAGCTGACCCTTCAGCAAGTTTCCAGAAGCAGTGAATCACACAGGACAAGATTGCCTATCCTTCTCATGCAGAACAGCTGATGTATTTGAATTTTGTGCCTTGTTTAAATTAATTCAGTTGGTTCTTGAAGATTGAAAGACCCAATTCTAATAGAAACCAATTTTAATTAAAACCAGTTTTAACAGATTTTATTGATGAAAAACAAAGTAACTTCTTCACTCACAAAACTGTGATAATTCACAAAGCCTAGTAATGAGAAGGCCACGGTTGTGTAAGAGTAAATTGGACTCAGTCCTCAGAGATTCTGATACACTACTTCTGGCATAGAATTCAGGAATCTCTATTTATTTCATAGTCTCCTACTCAACCCTTTGCCGTGGAATCTGAACCAATTCATAGATGACCCTCCAGCAAGTATCCAAGTCTGTATATCACATGGGAGGAGATTAACAATCTTTCTTCCAAGGAGAAGCCAGTGGATTTGAACTACCAGAGATGCCTTGCCTTTAGGTTAGCCGTGTAATTCCCTGTGGATTAGTGATTCTAATTTAAGTCGTATTTCAACATTGATCTCTTTATTCTGGCATCTCAATCTTTGAGCATAGATTGAGAAATAACATGCTGATGTATTTTTATCACTGTGTTTAAGGAAATACACTCATTCTTTTCTCACAAGCTCCATGTGTTCTATATTCTTTTGACAAAATATTTTATCATTCATGCTACTTTGGTGACATATGTCATATCTTAAATCATGGGAATCAGTCCTAGCAGTAGTCCTCAAATGATTGCATCAGAATCCCTTGACAAATTTTTCCTTAAAATACAAACACCTGGTCCAACTCCAAGAAATTTTAATTCATTGAATTTAGGTGGAGCCTTGTAATGTATATATTTTAAAAGCATTCCAAGTGATTCATACAAGTCACATGATGTGGACTATAATTTAGGAACCACTGAATTCAAATGAGCATAACTCACTTCATTCCAAAATAAACAAAACCTATTACTCTAAAAAAGGAAAAATGGCTATATATATAAATAAAACGCCTGGTATTGTTGGAAATATGTATTCTCATACATTGCCAATGGCGATATAATTATCATTTATATATCCCTTTCAGAAAATAACTTGGGACCTAGCAGTTTTAGGTAGGTTAAGGAAATAATCCCAGAGAATATAAAAGGCTTTTGCAAAGATGCACAATATAGCATTATTTATAATTTGTAAAATTCAGAACAGTCTTAACAATTTTCAAGTTCATTGTACTGCCTCTAAAAAATGGCAGTATAATACCACATAAAGATTATAACTATCCATGTTCCTCTACTCTTCATAGATAGGGCTTTCAAAGGCTTGTTATTTAAGAACTAGATGGCCAATCCTGCTTCCTACTCTATTTTAGTCTGTGAGTTCTAAAAAAATCTGTCTACTGTGGGTGACCTTTGTGGAATTTGACACACTGGTGGTATAGCTTTCAGCATCACAGCAACCCACAAGTTACTTCAGTACAACAAACTGACAATTTAGTGTTGTAACTCTAATAACAAATTAGGCATCACACCAGGCCCTCAGGCCCAACCAACTGTTAATATTCATGGTACCAGCAGTGAAAAAATCAGGAGACATATTGCACTGGAAAAGTTTGTAGTCAAGAACCTCACAAAAAAAAATTAATTTATAAAAGAAAAAAAAGAACCTCACCAAATTGAGTAGCAGTGAAGTCAGATTGATGACTAAGGTACATCTGATTCAGGCCATCATCTTCCTAATCACTACCTATGCATCTGAAAGCTGGACAGTGAATGATAGAAGAATTGATGCCTTTTAGCTGTGGTGTTGTAGAAGAGCACGAAACATTCCATGGACTGCCAAAAGAACAGATATGTCTTGGAGAAAGTACAGCCAGAGTGCTCCTTGGAGGCCAAAATGACAAAGCTTCACCTCACATATATCAGGCATTTTTCTAGGAAAAACTATTCCTTGTGGAAAGACATCATGCTTAGAAAGGCAGAGAATAGACAAAGTAGAGGAAGACCTTTAGTCAGGTGGTTGACAGTGACTGCCCCAATGTGTTTAGTGTGTCAGAAAGTGTGAAGATGGCACATGATAGGACAGGGTTCAGATCTGTTGTTCATCTGGTACGCTATGGGTTGTACTGACTCGATGGCACATAACAACAAAGATTTATAAATGAAAATTAGATAGCCACTCAGAAGTACTTACTGTCTCCAGTGAAACAGTAAAGAGGAAACATTACTAATTTGTTAACAATTCTGTATGCTGTTATAAAAGGAGCAAATATAATATGGACAATGTGGAGTCTGAGTTCTTTAATCTCCACAAAGGAGAACCAGCCTTATCAATAACATCATATCAAAATAAAAGCCACAAGGTCAGACATGGCCCTTAAGTCTGCACCCACTTCTACTAATCACTAGCTCTCAAATTGATTGCAAAAGTTGTGGGAAACAAGTTTAAGGGTTTGAGGAAAGGCCAGGGATATCACACAGTGAAAGTCCAAGTTCAGTCCATCTACACAAATGCAGAAAGCCTTTAGTTTCCTCAATTGTTCGTCTCAGCAGTCCCAACTCAGCTCTTCAGTAATCAAGAAGCAAAAACTTTTAACTCTGACTGACTGGGAGAAGGTTGTCCATCCTCAGCCCAAAGAACAACTGGTGGATTTGAACAGCTAACCTTTGAGCTAACCGTTCAACTTATAACACACCATGCCATCAGAGCTCCTTTGGCTTACTATCTGTACATGTTTGTGTGCAGTAAATCACACAGGAGACTGCTCATCCTTCCGAAGAGCAGTTGGTGGATTCAAACTGCCTGCTTTTGGGTTGGCAGCCCAACTCCTTACCACTGTGCCACCAGAGCTCCCTCAGCTTACTTTAGTGCAAGAAAAAGCTTAAACTTTTTTCAGTGATTTAAAGGTCACACACAAAAAATCAAGTTGATTATTAAAAATTTGTTGCCAGTAGGGAGCTCTGGTGGCCTAGTGGTAAGAAGCTGCACTGCAATCCCAAAAGCACTTGGTTCAAATCCACCAGCTGCTCAGTGGGAAACGGATGAGTGGTCACCTCCAATGGGATTTACTACTTCTGAACACTTTCTGACTTGCTAACACACAACCAAAGGGTTTGGCTCATTTGTTTCAAATTGATGGCAAATTTATGTAACATTTTTTTAAAAATTGTTGGGGAGCTCTGGTATCCTAGTGGCAAGAAGCTGTACTGTAATCCTGAAGACTCGTGGTTCAAATCCACCAGACGTTCTGCTGGAGAAGGAGGGGCAGACAATCTCCTCTGTACCAGTCGGATTTGATTCCAGGGTACACACACACAAAAGGCAGAATTGATCCATAAATCAAGTTTTGTAACTTTGTAACTTGCCTGTACATGCAATGATGAGCATATTTCTCATTTTCAACCACAAAAAAAATCCTTTTCTTTCTGTGGCTTTTAGGAGTCCAAGATTGATCTCCTTGATCGAAAAGAAGATGTGAAGAAAAAACTGAAAAAGGCCTTCTGTGAGCCAGGGAATGTGGAGAACAATGGAGTTCTGTCTTTCATTAAGCATGTCCTCTTTCCCCTCAAATCTGGTAAGACATTCTCTGTTTATGTCTTAAAACAAGCTAGACTAACAAGACAAGCTCTGTGATGTTATTTGTGATTTATTCTGGACTCGGGAGCCCTGATGATTTAGCAGCAAGGAATTATGCTTCCAACTCAAAGGCATGTAGTTCAAATCTACCAGCTTCTCTGCAAGAAGAAAAAGGGGCATTCTCCTCCCATGTAATTTAGTGCCTCTGAAAACCAGCAGGAGGGGCAGCTATGAGTTGGTCCTGACTCAAGGATATCTAACAGCAACATTACAAACTCCAGGAACCTGCTTCCCCAACTCTGTACTCTGTTATCTCATTTGTTAATGTATAATATAAAAAGGTTGAGATGTCATTTACTGTTCATTGGTTTGTTCCTAAGCTAGGTTTTATGGAGGGTGTGTGCTATTTGAGCTTACTGTTAGATAGAGACAATTTCGGCTCAACGGTGCCCCCATGTGATGGAGTGCTCCATAGGCTTATCATGGTCATAATCTTTACAGAAACAGACTGCCAGGTCTTTCTCCCACAGAGCTATTAGGTGGGTTCAGAACCTTTTTTTCTGTTAGCTGTTGAGGACTTAATTTTTGTATTGGGGCTCATTCCATGCCAACTGGGTATACAACATGGCCACACATCCAGTTTAAGGAAATAAAATGTCAAATAATAAAATTCTAACTCTAGGGCAAAAACTCCAAATACTCATCCAATTGGGGTAGGAGTGCTGACTGTGCCACTATCATTGAGTTTATTGGCACAGATTTCTTTTTCTTGCAGAATTTGTGATACTTCGAGATGATAAATGGGGTGGAAACAAAACCTACACTGTTTACTTGGACCTGGAGAAGGACTTTGCTGATGAGGTAAAAACCAGACAAGGACTGATCCCCAGATAACTCAGTTCTAGTTACATATACTTTGCCTTAATAGTCTCTGGGGCTGTCGGTTTTGCTAATGACTCAGATGATAAGCTAATGGCTAATAGTATACCGGTCATTCTCCAAAGGACTTGACAAGCCGAAATGAAAGACCAAAGCACTTCAGGGATAGATACAAAATCAGAGCCCCAAATAAGACACAACTATTGAAGGCTATAATAAAACTTGATTTCAACCCATTATGACTCTGTGTGTTGCAGGAAAGAATTGCTACACAGGGCTTTTTTGGTTTTTTTTTTTTCTGGTCATATAACCTTTATGGAAGCAGATCTCAAGATCTTTCTTCCTTGGTGCCTCTGGGTGGATTTGAATCACCAGGATTTAGCTCCATTGAGTGCAAACCATTTATGCCACCCAGAAACTTAAAATGACATAATAGAGGAGACACTATTATGTGAACAAACAATATACAAAATACCTAATTAATAATAATAGTGTATATGGGGAATCTTGCTATGCATCTGAGCGCTGGACAATGAATAAGGATAATAGAAGAAGAGTTGATGCCCACGGTGTTGGCTTAGAAGTTGACTTTTCAAATCATTACGTTAGCCCCCTCTGTTCTAGTCTCACAAATTAGTAACAACTGGAGGATGAAACTAAGCAAGCACTCTCTTATATTGAAGGTGTGTGAGAAACACCAGCATTGCAGCGGCAGCAAGACTTATTTAAGCATTCAGTGGCATCCAGCCTGGCCTATTGCTCGCCAGCTTCTGTAAAAAACCAGCCTGAATACCAGCAGTCACTTGAGTCATTCCCTGACTGGTCTGAGTCACTGCAGGACCTTCTACAAATCTTTTCATTGAATCCAAAAGACCATAAAGGAATTGAGAAACTGAGCCTCAGATAAGCTGTTAATATCAGATATTATGGATTTATATAACTGAATGAGCATTTACAATTACATTGACCTGAGGCTTCTGATTAATAGTGTGCTATTAATCTTAGTGCATAGCATAATAAAAACAATGCCTTTGAACTGTGGTGTTGGAGAAGAGTACTTAATATCCCCTGGACTGCGCTAGAAGAATAAATAAGTGTTGGAGAAAGTACAGGCAAAGATGATAAAGCTTCATCTCTCATACTTTGGTCATGTTGCTAGGAGAGGCTATTCCTTGAAGAAGTACATCATGCTTGGAAAGATAGTCAGTGAAACAGGAAGACCCTCAACCAGATGGATTGACACAGTGACAACAGCAGTTGGTTTGGGTATGTCAGAAATTGTGAGGACGACACAGGATAGGACAGGGTTCAGATTCGTTGTTCATAGGGTTGCTATGAGTCGTACTCGACAGCACCTAACAACATGAGGAGTCTTGGACTCTGAATTCACATTGTGTAAGCAGTGAGATGGTGCTGTCAGAAATGTTCATGAAGTCTTGAGTTAAGTCTGGAACCAGAGAGATGATAGGCTATTTTGTTCACCATTATTCTGAATGCATTTGGGATTGTACATCTGGCCCTAGATTTGAATTTTATTCTTACCACTGAACTGATAGGCAACATCATGATGGATGGAGAAGAGATTGAAACTGTCAACAACTTCATCTTGCTTGGATCCACAATTAACATCCTTAGTACCAGCAGTCAGAGAGACACATTGCACTGGAAAATTTGCAGAATTAGGGACTTCGCCGCATTATTGAGGACTAATAATGTCAGTTTGAGGACTAAGAGGTGTCTGATTCAGCCATAATCTTTCCATTCACTTGCTAAGCCTCTGAGAGCTGGATAGTGAATAAAGATGACAAAAGAATTGATGCCTTTAAGTTGTGTTGGAGAAGAGCACTGAACAGCCCATTGGATGGCCAGAAGAACAGATACATCTTGGAGAGGGTGCAGCTGGAGTGCTCTTTGGAAGCAAAAATGATGAGGCTTCGCTTCACATACTTTGAGCATGTTGCTAGGAGGGGCTATGACATGATTCTAGGAATGGTGGAGAGTCGACAAAGGAGAGGAACACCCTCAACCAGGCGGATTGATGTGACTGCCACAATGGGTCTTGTGTGTCAGGAAGTGTGAGGATGACATAGGATAGAATAGAGTTCAGATCTTTTGTTCATAAGGTCGCTATGCGTCATAGTTGACTCAACAGCATCTAACAACAGCAACATTGACAGAGGAAAGAGACATGCCATAAGAGAGAACAGACTCAAAACCAGGTTATAGAAGGCACAGTTGAAAGTACTGGTGACTTTTTTCCTGGGAAGCAAGTCATCCTTAATTCTGTGAAGAATTCTCACGGAAGAGGTGTGAAGTTTCTTCTTGTGGCTCCAGAAGGCTAAATCAGCACTATGGGTGAGAGCCATAGAGAAGCTTGACTAGATTCAGCATTAAGAAAGACTTGGTAGTGACCTCACTTACTGGACAGTGGACAATGCTGGTACCTCACTTGACCTTACATTTCCCCATCACAAGAAGGTATTCTACTGGATGATAGAAGTCGTGCGATAAGAGAACTTGAGCATCAAATGAAGGGGAAACTAAATGAAGGCCTTTAAGATGCATACTTTTGATATGTCACCATCATTCTTTTGAATTCTATCTATAGTCTGAAGGAGGCCATAGAACTCATACTCTGATGCTTCACTCCATAAACAGCCTTTTATAGGAATAATGAGAAGGAATAGATGAAATGCTTCTGAAGAAAGGATTGGAGCAGTGCTATTCAGTAGCACTGTCTGTGATAGTGGAGATGATCTGTACTGCCTGATACAGTAGCCAATGACCACTTAAAACTTGTGCATTTACAATGGAGCTAGTGCAAGAACTAAAGTTTCATTAATTTACACTTAAATATAACCACATGAGGCTAGTGGCTACCATATTAGACAGTAGAGGTCTGATGCTTTTGCACTGTTAAAAATTAAATAGCTTGACGAAATGAAGAAAGAGCATCAGAAATAGTTGCATTACAATTACTCAAACTTGGGTGATAGCCCCATATCTAGAATGCAGGGTCAGATTTGGGATTCTAGATGACATAAATGGTTTGCCCTCAACTTCTGACTCTTCTTGAGTTGCCAGTGTGAACATCTCTCTCTGCCTGTAAATAGTTGATTTGTGCCATTACTCTAAGCATTAGTGTAAATAATAGTTGATTTGTGCCATTACTCTAAGCATTCACTAATGGAGGCACTAAAAGAATTAAGTTAATGAATATATTCATCCTCTGAAAATGAAGTAAACATAAGCCTTTGGGTCAAATTGATTGTGACCCACAGCAACCCCATGTGCTAGAGTAGAACTGCTCCAGCAGATTTTCTTGGCTGTAATTTTTTATGGAAATGATCGCTAGACTGTTCTTCTGTGGCACCACTGAATGGATTTGAACTTCCAACCTTTAGGTTAGCAGCCTGTCATAAACTGCTTCTTTGCCAGAGACCTGTTCAGCCTCTCAGAACTCTCAAATTAGTGTAGAATTGAGAATCAAAATACATAAGTAAAATTTTGTTTAACCTATCTCCCCCTCCCTGTTCTGTCTACCTTATGAGGATCAGATAAGGCTGCTGGAAAAACACTATATGAACACTATTCTTAGTAGATATGATATCCTGGGTCCTTTTTACATCCTTCATCTCACTAGCTCTTACACATTTCCTTAGGTGGTCCACCCAGGAGACCTGAAGAATTCTGTCGAAGTTGCCTTGAACAAGTTGCTGGATCCCATCCGGGAAAAGTTTAATACCCCTGCTCTGAAAAAACTTTCCAGTGCTGCCTACCCTGATCCCTCAAAGCAGAGGCAGAGTAAGGCCTGGGAAAGGGTGGGTCAGGGAAGGGGTGACACCATCAGGACAAAGGGCCTGTCTTGGGTCTTGGGGAAAATACCTTAAACTGTGGACTTAAGAACCCTGGGGGTCTGAAGCGCAGGAATTCTATGCCTCTTTGACTCCTGGAATGCAGTTAGTCATCTTGGTTTTGGCTTGGTCAATACCATGAAATGATTACATCCTGTTATACTAACACTGTTGAGAGATGCTGGCATGAAGCAGGTATTCATTTTTTCCCCCTCTCCTTTTTATGATTTGGGTGAAAGTTTACAGAGAAACTTAGTTTTCCCTTTAGCAATTTATTCTACTTTTGTATTTTCTGCCATTCACTCAGTTTAACAGCACTCTTCCCACTTCCTCCCTCAGTTTCCTCTTTCATTCATCCTTCTTTCCTGGCTTTCTTATTGGAAATATGTTGTCCTTTTAGTCCCATATGGTTGGTTTTTCTGAGGAATATGTTTCTCTTTGGTGTTACTCTTCATTTTATAGGCTTGTTTATTGTTTGGCTGTAAGTTGATCTCCTGCAATGGGTTCAGTACCAAGTTTGAAGAGTAGAGGCCGGGGCTTAGATTATTTAGTCTGTGTTCAGGAAATGTGCCTCTTCCTTGAAGAGGAGATCTGGTTGAGTTAGACCATAAGGTTAATAGTCCCTTGCACAGCTACTGAGGCAGAGTCTACACAAATGACTCAGGAAAGCTCATGTCTAGATTTATCCCACTTCCATTCCATGTGCTTTGAATGGCTTTTCATTCCTATCCCCTTGTCCATGATGCTGCTTTGAATGGCTCTTCATTCCTATCCCCTTGTCCATGATGCTGAAATACTAACATTATTGACCTTATGTGATCCTCCCGGAAGGGACTCAATAAATATATGGTGAATGCATAAATAGAAATGCTTAAAAGGCTGCAAAGCTATGCCTCCCCTCCCTGCTTCCCAGCATTCCCTGCCCAACACCTAGGGGAGAGACTTGGGAGAAAATCTGACATGTCACTTCTGAAGCTTGCTGACCCTGTTTTAGAGAAGGTACAACTCAATGGCTAGATTTTTGGAAGTACTGCATTAATCCTGCTTTAGTGCAGTGTCCTCATTTCCTGGACCAGCAGTCTGATTAGGGAAGGAAGAGTCCTGACCCCTTGGGGTTCTTTTCATTCCTAGAGCCAGTTACCAAAGGCCCTGCCAAGAATTCTGAACCAGAAGAGGTCATCCCATCCCGGCTGGATATCCGTGTGGGGAAAATCATCAGTGTGGAGAAGGTACTTATTTTTCATCACATCCCGCGGTGCAGCCCTAGGGGTCAGGTTTATCTCTTTCCATCTGGAGGAAAATCGGCCTGGAGATGGGAAGTAACATCCCTGAGGTCATATTGCAAGTCAGAAGGCAGGTGTCTAATTCCAGGTTTCAGATTCTCTCTAGCGATTGGTGCCCCTGGACCTTTTGCAGCCAAACAGGCAGGAACTCGGAGTGGGGTGCACTTAGTCAGAGCACTTGTTTATCCATTAAATCTAGCCTGGTGGACCTCACCTAGTCCCGACCAGCTTGCCTGGACTCGCCTCAGGCCTTATCTTGCTTTGATCAGCCACTTTGGTCTGTCCCCTCCACCCTCCCAGAAATGGAGGGAGGACTTCCTTCTTCCCAGAGACAGAAGGTTATGTAACCAGGGGCCTGGGACCATTATTCTGGGCTTTTTTCTCCCCCATCGTGCCTTTTCTTTTCACTATATATACTCAACTACCAGTTGTCCTCCTCCTACCTTCCAATCCACCTAGGACCCATCTGGTGCAGCACATGGGCATGATGGAAGCCACCCACACAGACTAGGCCGTTTATTCTCCATTAAAGATCTTTCCTCCTTCTTACACAGCAATTAAACCCACTGCCGTCGAGCCCATCTTGACTCACAGCAATGCTATAGGACAGAGAAGACATGCACCATCAGATTCCCCAGGCTATAATCTTTATGGAAGCAGCCTGAGTGCTGGTGGATTTGAACTGATGACCTTTTGTTTAGCCAGTGTGTGCTTTAACCATGGTGTCACCAGGGCTCTGGCCTCTTGGTTAAGATTAGGGGGAAAGACCCATTACCCTGTGCCCTCTGAGACATACGAAGAGCTTGAGAAAGCCTCTCCAGGAGGGCTCCGTAGTAAATCAAGTGTTGCTTTCTGACATCCATGGGTTGACCAGGATTTGTGATTCATTCTATCCTGATAATATGTGGACCTGACACATTTTTATGGCAGCACCCAGATGCAGATAGCCTGTATGTGGAGAAGATTGATGTCGGGGAAGGTGAACCACGGACTGTGGTGAGCGGCCTGGTGCAATTTGTACCCAAGGAGGAACTGCAGGACAGGCTGGTGGTGGTGCTGTGCAATCTGAAACCCCAGAAGATGAGAGGACTTGAGTCCCAGGGCATGCTTCTGTGTGCTTCTATGTGAGTAAGGATGTGGGCGGGGTGCACAGGGCCTAGGGAGGAGAAGAAAGGGAATTGGCCTGAGCAGGTGGAAGCCATGAGAACAATGTCCTCTTCTTTAACAAACAGCAAAAGATAGGAGTTACTGTAATATAAATGAAACCACTGGCCTCAGGTAATTTTATTAAAGCATTTTGAGGGCTCAAATCAGTGTGTATGTGGCCAGGTCTTAGAAGAGGTGGAGCCAGAATTCAAATCTAGTTCTGATTGGCTACAAAATTCTTTTTCTGTTTGCCCCACTTCCTCACCCATTAGTTGCCATCTTTCGGGATTTCCATATGTCCTGGTTAACCGCCCCTGGTAATTTTCGGGGATGAAGACCCCCTGAGGCTCTGCCACTGATGATGCTCCGGCTCTCACCAGGCTCCCTTGTGTACAGGCCCAGATTGCCTTCATCACCACAGCAGCTGGAGACAGTCCATAACTTCACTTTTTTCTTGCTTTGCGTGTCTTCCCAGAGAAGGAGTAAGCCGAAAGGTTGAACCTCTGGACCCTCCCCCAGGCTCTGCTCCTGGAGAGCGAGTGTTTGTGAAGGGCTATGAGAAGGGCCAAC